GAATCTGTGGCATATAACAGAAAACAAGACGAAACCATCCAGTTGCTAACCTCTGGTTGTCGACTACATTGACAAGAGGTTCAGGATACAAAACAAATGTTGGTATTTAAAAGAGTTGCCAAATTAGGTAAGTTCCAATATGTTTACAACTTATAAATGATACAAACAAAGATAACAACTTACTGTCCACATATATATTCTTTATCTCTTTAGTCTCATAATCGGGAGATATGCAGCGCAAATTTGAAGTAGACCTTCTGTGGCCCCCTATTTTATCCAAAGGGCTTTCCTGGAGATCATATTTCTGCTCTGAGTGGATACTTTTGTCAGGTACTAAACCACCACCATATGGCTCAATATGCTGACACCGGAAGATAAAATACAGGAAATCAAGAGAGGACAACAAGGAAAAAAGGAAATGAAACCAAGAATGCAAAAAGAAAAGGCTGATAGAAGTTAACTAGACTATCTACCATGACATCAGCCACCCAAACTCCAACAGAGTTCCTATAATATGAGCAACCCAAAAGTTTTCCATCATGGATACAAGTATCACCCAGTGTTGACCATCCCATATCAACAGCATCATGGCATATCACAGGTTCCCACGAATAAACCTGAAGTCAAGGGCATGGACATGTAAAGACTATATTCTTTTCAAGCAAGAAGCTTATAGAATTTCCAAACAGAGAAGTAAGACACCTTCAAACTATCATCCAATCCACAAAACAGGGTTCTCCCATCAGGATGAAAGGTAATTGATCGTACTCCTGTTGCCTGAAAGACATACAAGTAACTTTGCTTGGATTGTGGCACATATATTTGGATACTCACAAAAAGAAAGTTTTCTTCTACTAAAAGGAGAGACAAACCAGTATCCAACTTACGAAGAACAATGTCTGTGTAAGAGTTTCTACTTGTCCATGTTTTTTGTGTTTATTTTTTAGATGAGGGGATTGGGGACAAAAGTGTGAGACACATGACAAACATGATGAAAGAATTGTTTTCGCTTTGCCGCTAAGAAGAGATCCTTTTAGAGGCTTTTGCATCACTTGGAAGGAGAAATATGCAGGAGAATCCACCTTGTATCTAGCAATTTTGCAAAGTAATTTCAGCCAACAGCCTTTTTTCCCTGCTTCCTATTGCTTAGAAAAGCAGATTTGGCATATAAATTAAGGAAACCTTTATAATTATTGTCAATAGCACAACCTATATATTAGCCAGTAGGCAGCATACCAAAATCAGCCACATTTGCATTTCAATGTCAAGAATTGATAATTAAGAGGTGGGAAACACAATAGTTGTATATACCTCAGTTTTGGCAGATCCGATTAGTTCAAAGGTTTCCAAATCCCAAAATTTCACAGTTCTGTCAGCTGAACCTGGAATATTACATTTGATGGTTACTTCAAACTACCACAGAAAGCTAGTGAGGAGGACAAGCCAACCCAAAGGGCAAATTTGGCACGAAATTCAATATATAAAGCACTTTGATAGAATAGGAAAACTTACCAAATAGGGATCCAATCATCAGCTCTATTTCTAAGAAAATAGAATGACATTCGTGCATATATAGAATCAAACTTTACAACCATATTACTCATTATAGATTTCGATAACTTTACTGCCGTCACTCAGTTAAATCAGTCATTATTACCGCGATGCAACAGCATTCTATCTTCTTCCAAACCAAGAAAAAGTAGCAGAAACCACCAAACTCAGGCACAAATCCTAAATATCCACCGCATCCTTCAAGTTAACCTTCACCACTCAGCAAGAAATGTTTTTATTCATTGATTCACTTGTGATTAATGTCTAACTTGCATGACTTAGGCTTCCAAATAGAATATTTGGTTTCCTTGAAATTTAAGTCCAACCATCTGTGAAGATCCTCATTTAGAAATACAGGTCTGGATAAGCCCCTATATGGTGCATCATGTGAGGAATCCCAGAACCTGGATGCATTGGTTTTTGTTTCACTTTCTTTTATAATTAACTAGTTATTGTGATATCATCGCAGAAATATAAATCGCGAGATTGTATATCACGAGATATTCTTACCAGTTTTAAAGTTATTAGCCAATTTCTCCTTTGTGTGCCATCCACTCACCAAATGCCTATTGTTGAGGCAACTTCTTTCAACCCTTCCTGTAATGGGACTTTGAGAGAGTTCCTTCGATATAAAATGGAATTGTAAATTCGCATTGGCAGATACATCTCTCGTTTGCACTACCTCTTCAAGGTAGGTGATATTGTCTAAGTCGTCAACAGAGGATGAAACTGATGTTTCCTCAACCTCAACTGGTTCATTCAGGTCAGCCAAATCATGAGTTCGCTTTGGATTCAAATTAGCTCTCAAAGAATCACCATTATAGTCAGTCTTGAAGGCACTATCAAGAGAAAGATTTACATCTCTTATATGTGGGACTTCATGATTCCTTTTGGGGAGCACTTTTCAACCCCTCGTACTCCACAAAATCTTTTTTCTAGTCGTTTTCCTTCATTGTTCATGTACACATCAGCTGGCATTTCAAGGTCAACCACTTTTCTCTGAAATGTGTTGCATTTAGGTGTGGGAGATTCACAATCCTTCATTATTCCATTGTGTTGAATGCTATCAATCTGTGATTTGGACAGTCTAATCAAAATTGAATCCGTCACGGGAGAATTAGAGATATGCCTTGTCTTTTCAGCATCTTCAGAAGGAAGGTGAGATAAAAAGACGCTTGACTGCAATGTTTGTGCTGGCATTTGATGCTTGAGTAGTTCTCTGCTTTTAATTTCGTTCATCATGTCCCTTTGTGTTTGATACAGACGGTGAAGTTCATGAAGCTGGATGGCCAAAACAAATTCAAAGAATTTCAACGTTAGAGAAATACATCGAGACATTAACAACACTAAGCCTACTATTTGTTTGAGCCCTTCCTATGAAATTATGGGTATTTATTATAATAATGGTAAAATTAGGATTAACCCAACAATGTGGGAGTTGAATTGTGAAGCGATTAATAAGGAACTAAAATTACTACTTGTTAAGTTCAAAATAAAACAATTGTACGATCTTTCTCATCGATACTGTGGAAAGCAGTACAAACTGAAATTTATTGTTCAGCAAAGGAAGTTGAAACAACATATACCTGATGCCTAAATATTGCTTCGTGCTTCATAATCATTTGCCTCACCTTTTCCATTTCATACCCCAACTTTCTGGCTTGCTGTGTCAATGATGAGTCATAAAGCCGACCATTTTTCAAGGTTTTGTCCTCATGAAATAGGGCAAACATGCCATTTGCCTCATTATCATTTGAATCCTTCATGGAATTATGTCGTGAGAAATATGTCTTAGATTGTATTTTGGTTCCCATTCCTTCAATCACTTCAAGAAACAGCACTGATTTGAG